ACAACATAACCAAAGTCATTTTTATTTAAAAACAAATAAAGAAACTGGGGGGGCAGGGGGGACAAACCAACAAACAAAAAAAATACAACATAGCCACAGAAAGTGTAAACTTCCCTTGTACTAGTGTTACCTACGGGAGCAAATACCAAAGGAAGGTCGACAGGGGGATTCTATAAAAACTGATGTCATGTCCAAACAAACAAGGCGACCGCACTTCCACTAAAGGAATTTCGAAGCCAAAGATGGACTGGAAACCCACAAGTGCAAAATCCAACCTCATCTTCATCCTGAAAGTCCCAACAGTTATTTTCAACAGTGGTTTTATTTTCAAAAGTTATTTTCAAACCTCCGTTTGCTCCTATGAAGGCAAAGCACAAAACTCCCTCTGCTTTAAGATCTTAGAAGATCTTAAATAATTTGCAACTCTCGGCCCATCAACTGGCAGATCTTGAACAAACCTTCGCTGCTGCCATCAGCAGGTGCCCCGAAGTTCATGGTCATCGCAGCTCACCTGTCCTCCAAGGGATTAACACACCCAGGAAGGATCTAAAAACAAAAAAAACCCCCAAACTTACTGTTTTCCTCTTTAAATGCCAACAAAAAGCTCCAAGGACAACCAGAGCCTCGGTCGTGATCTCCCCTCAGCTGCTGGGGGGGATTTACCCTGAAATCTTGAGAGTACAGATACACCAAGTAACACTTCTGGCAGTGTACGGTCTTTACAGTCCCAAGAGGCCGTATTTCTAATAGACCTCCTCATCTGTAGCAAAAAGCTAAATACAAAAGCATCTGCCTTTTCTTCTGGGGGGTCAGCTCCACACCCCCCAAACACGAAATCTGGATTTGCAGAGCAGGAGGCAAAGAAGCAGGAGGCGGCACAGCAGGGTTATTTACAAAAGCTGAACAGCTTCCCCTGTAAGAACTGACATCCCTTCACAAGAGCCTGAAAATATATTCCTATTACAACAACAGACACAAATGAATATAGAACTCTGGTGGGGTGTTTTGGTTTGTTTTTTTTTTTTCTTTGCTTCAAACTAGGCTGAGACCTGTTCAAACAGCAGAGAAGTTGACCATCTAACACTCCAATATGCTCTTTAACAAAAAAATATTTAAAAAAATATAACATCTCTGAAAGTTTAGCCATTTGTTCCTTGACCAACATCCAAAGAGTAATTCTCAGGTCAGCGAAAGTTGTTCAGAAGCGAGACAACCCCTGAAGCAGGGGCTGTTTCCAAGCATTGGAGCCCAGCAGGTTCTGCGCGCAGCTCAGAGCGCTCTCCAGTCAATGGGCTTCTTGCCGGCTTTCTTGAGCAATTCATTTGTCTTCGAGAAATGCCGACAGCCGAAAAACCCTCTGTTGACGGAGAGGGGCGAGGGATGAACCGTCTGCAGGACGTGGTGACGTTTCTGTAAAGCGTTAGAGGAAACCGCTCGTTAGATTTGCATGCCTTCAGCTCCCTGGACAAGGCTGGCTGCTTCTGCCCCCACCACGCAGGTGGGATTTCCTCGCGACACCTCCTCAGCCACCGGCCACGAGGACTGAGACTTTTGTCCCACTGAGCAGAGGAGGCTGGACTACCTAAAGCTGTAGTAACACCCTGGCCAGTTTCCAATTGCTGTAATCCTAACAGCACATTTTATACTTATTCATGAGCCTTTTCCTAGAAAAAAAAAAACCCAAACAGTTCTGTCCTCAACGGGATGCTTTTCTGACAAGAGAAGGTTACGCTTGCTCCACTTTTGTTGCTTAATTCGGGCAAAGGCTAAGCTGGAACAGACGGGCGACTAAATTTGACAGCAGAGGTCAAGCAGGGGGAAAACCCCAAATCTGTAAGGGAACTGCCCTCTGGTGTCTGCCCAACTGAAGGAAAAAGAAAAAAATTAGTGAGAGGGAAGAGATGAGGAGGAATAACCTGTACCCTGTCAATGGAGCTGCCTTTCTTCTGGGCGTAGGCTCCCCACAGCATGAAGACAACGCCGTGCAAGTTCTTGTTGAGCCAGGACACGACCACGTCGGTGAACTGCTCCCAGCCTCGCTCCTTGTGGGACGTGGCCTGGTGAGCTCGCACCGTCAGGACGGCATTGAGTAGGAGCACTCCTAGCAAACACAGCAGGTGCACAGAGGATGAAACAAAAAAACGAAACAAGTCAAGTGGTAACTGCTTTTTTTTTTTTCCTGCTTCCTCTGAAAAATGATAAATTAAATTTTTATGCTAAGCCACAGGCACTCGGAATTGATTTTCTCTTTCACAGATGAACTGTTTCCAACCATGGGTCTGTCTTCTAGATGGGCTTTTTTATGACCTACAGGGGACACATTACCGGAGGATCTATTAACTCACCTTGCTTGGCCCAGCCAGTCAGGTCACCGTGACCAGGATGAGTGAAGTCCTCAATATCCGTAGATAGCTCTTTGTAAATATTTTCTAAACTACAAACAAAAACCATCAGAAGTTTTTTTTAACATTCACGTTTAAAGATAGAGCAACAGCACCACTTACTGCTCTTACACTAGGCAAGAAGGGTATTGATTTTAATCTTCTAATTTAAGGTAAGAAAGCCATTTGTAGAAGCAGGGCAGCTTGTGCGTCTGGCTGGAAGCCTAACGAGAAGCTCTCAGCACAACTGAAAATGCAAATTTACATCCAGCACGCTCTTCAGAACACCACCAAGCTACACAGAAATATCCATACTTTTGCAGTGATGTTTTTTCTAGGCAACGCACAACTCAAATTTAAGTAGTTGCAACACACTTCTTATCAATTATCTGGCTCGCAGCCGTGAGCAACGCAGAATTGCAAATAATTTGTAAACCAAAGGGATTTTGTAAATTGAGCGCTGTCATACCTGGGGGGAGGTGGAACAGGCTTCTGGACACTGAAACAGAGCCCATGAGCTTGATTAGGTCCATGATATGGATCTTGTCCCAAAATGACAACCTTTACCTGAAAACAGACCTTTGTTAGGACTGAATTATAATCAGCATTATTCCCAAAAGAGGGGAAAAAAATTCAACCCTTTGAAATGCACTTTATCCTAAAACACATAGACAAAAAAAAAAGCAAACCACAAAACCAAAAACCCCAGGAACTGACATTAAATCATTGACACCTCATTACAAACAAGTTAAAGAACACAGTCCCCACCTAACACTAAGGATTAATATCACCACAGCTTTGCTGCTAAGATTATGAAGATATTTTGAGCGCGGAAGACCAAAATTTTCAAAGAGCCACAATAAAATGTCTTCTTAAGGTATTTTCCAAGTAGATTTACTCACATTTTAGTTTTATGCCACACTTGCTGTGATATTTTTGACACAGCTTATTGGCAATAGGATTACCTTCAGTACTGTCTTTTTTTAATTATAGTTCACTACGGATCAATTTAAAAAAAGAGAGATGTACGAGATCCAAAAATCAAGCGCTACATGAAGTTGGTAACACTGGAAATAAGGTCAAAAGTCCAACTAAAGTTTTAAAGGAAATTCTGTGGCCAGCGAGGGTAATAAAACAGTAAAACCACGTTTCAGCATCGGAGATGAAAGAGAAGCCGAGATTTACGAGTGAAACAACAGCACCCGCATCACAGGGGGCTGAAGCGCAAGAGACCAAACGGTTTGTGCATCCAGCCCTGCCCTTGCACCGTTTCAAACGCACCAGCAGCTGCGGAGACACC